AGGTTAGGCTTTCTTCCTTTGTAAAGTTCATAGGGCGTTTTCTTGAGTATCGGTCTAATGACGGCTCGGTTTAACACGTAGCACGCGGTACTCACGGCATCCGCCCAAAAATATTTAGGAAGGTTAGCCTCATTGAGCATAGTTCTAGCCATCTCTTCAAGAGACCTATTTTTCCGTTCAACCACGCCATTTTGTTGTGGTGTACGGGGGGCCGAGAAGTTATGCTCAATGCCTAATTCCTCACATAAGGCGTCAAAGCCATCTTGATCGAATTCTCCCCCATGATCACTTCTTATGGATGAAATGTGACAATCTTTTTCATTTTGAACCAATTTAATGAATTTCTTAAAAGCATTAAGTGCATCATACTTATGAGCAAGAAAGAGTGTCCATGTAAACCTCGAATAGTCATCAACGATAACAAAGCCAAATTAATTACCTCCTAAACTCATAGTTCTTGAAGGTCCAAAAAGGTCCATGTGCAAAAGTTGTAATGGCCTAGTCGTAGAAACAACGTTCTTTGACTTAAACGAGGCCCTTACTTGCTTCCCCTTTTGACATGCAAATCCTTTTCCCGTTCCTCTACTTCAACGTTACCAAACGTATGAGGGATAACCGATGGTGTCGTGCTGGAGAGATATTGTCCAAACTCATCCGTGAGTTGACTCTCCTGAGTAAACACATAATCTCCATCAAACCTCACCGGTGAGGTACGATACGTGCGTTGTGTAGGATCTGGAACCTCGAATCGCGGAGTATATGAAGTGGATGGCTCAAAGGTGAAAGCGGGTGTGTGGGTATCGCTCTCAACATAGTCATCGTCAGTGGCATCCTCGTCTTGGGACATACGATGGGATTCGACTGGGGTATGAACCTCTTCTTCTTCTACTTGCAACCTACGTTGACCACGCCCGCCACGCCTAACCCCTACATGAGGTGCATCGCGCCTTGTATCTGCCCTTCTCCGAATATGTCCTGGATTGTATACTTGTTGCTGCTGTGGATGATTGAGGATAGATGCATGTCCAAGAGCACGTATACACTCACCTAATAAGTCATGAACTCGGACTACCTCGTGAGAGGGTACAAAACCATCCGGGTGCCTACCTGGATCAAGGCGCTGATGGCAATCTGCCATACAGGATAGCTACACACAATACCTTTATTAGTCGCATAAAAAATTATAACAAAAATTAATCAAAATTTAAGTAATACATACTGCTGTATGTAGCTCAGGAGAAATGGGGACATAGCCTGTTCCGGGCTGATGTGCGGGGTTTCCTATCTGTCTTCGACCATGGAGGTAATACCACTGACGGTACTCAGGCATGGAATCCGACATCCCAAATTCCATCACTACATTTGCAGCGTAACGTCCCTCCCATACACCTAAATAATGTCTCTCATTGTCTCCGAGCTCCATAGTGGTCGACTTAATGTTATGTAGGTGTCGATCATACACAACATCGAGAGGAACACGTTGGCGGGCACCAAACTGTCTGCAAAATCGATCCGGATAGTACATCTCCACAACATATCCGTAGATCAAAGGGATGCGTGAAATCCATATTCGAAGTCCGGCTAAACAACAGGGTGGTAAGGTATCGACATTCGGATACGGCATCCAAACAAAGTGCATAATTAAAAAAGGAATACAATAGACATTTAAAATGTAATATATATGCATAACACTGTGATGTGTTTAGTACTTACCTCTCCCTCGAGCAACCTATCTAGCTGGTCTCTGTACGCTCGTAAGGAGTGTGTCGTACAATCTGACCACCGATGATAACACACCCATCTACCAATGGAGGATTAAACATTAACATGAATAAAATAAATTGAGTAAATGCATGATAGACATAAATAAATGGAAAATACCTGACTCCGTATGGAACATTAACCAGCTGCTCCAATGGTACAACCCCCCTAGGTCTAGTCATAGGCAGATGTTCCCATGCCCAAAGCTGTAAGAGGATAAGACACCCTCCAATCTGAGATACATGTGCCATGCTCGCACGACACATACTACGATACAAGAAACTGAGAACCGCAGCACCTATGGCACGACCCCGCACCAGCACAGAGTCACCCATGATTACCTCCAACAGATACAAATTAACCTTATTTCCCGTCGTGTTGGGAAATAAGCTGCCACCCATCAACTTAAACATGATAGCTCTAGCATGCTGTTGGTAATCAACTTCATCACTATTTTCTGTTAGCGCCTTCGGATGAATTGCAGATATCTTAATCGTAGAAGATGTAATATCAGATGGTTCGGGTCTAAAACCCATCATGTCATGACAAATCTGAATCCACTGATCTCTTGATCGACTGGTGCCCCCCGACAATGGAATGTCATCAACGGGCAATCCTAGTAAAACTTCAACATCTTGTAGCGTAATTCCCACCTCTCCAAAGGGGAGATGGAATGAATGGGTCTCGGGTCTCCATCTCTCCACTAAAGAAGTAATCGGAGCCCAATCTAACTGTAATCCACCTACCTTTTCCACCCCATAAAATCCATAATCACGTAAGATCTCTATGACACGAGGTGGTCTATTAGCAACAAGAGTCCTCGGATATATACTAGAACAAGTCCTATGACACTTTAGACTCTTTTTGGCATAATCTTCTTCCGCCCATACTGCATCACACCTATGTACTCCGCCTTCAAGAACTAAAACGTCTCGTGAAATAGGTCAAGGGTGAACATCCATTTGCTTCAAATATTACAGAATAACAATTTTTTCATTTAATAACTCATTTGTTTCAAAGATAACAACATAAGAATTAATTCATTTAATACAAGCACACAAGTAGGCAATTATAAAAAAAACTCACGAAGTAACTAATTATGTTAAAAATTATGGAGTATCTTAGAATCTCAAAATTTAAAAATTACCAAATTTTTATTAATATATATCAATTACAACAAATAAATTCACCCAACTTGGTAATTCTATATAATTTATGTAATTTTATAAAACAATATATATATATATTACTAAAAAATAAAAAAATACCTCCATGAAACGGATTAGCCTAATCCGATTTGCCCTAGTCGCCGGCGGTCGGATCTCGGATTCTCCCGGCGGTTGTCCCTCTCTTCTCTCGCTCGGCGCCCTCTTCTCTCCCGGCGGTCCCTTCTCTCGTTCGCAGCTCCTCTCTCGCTCAGCGGATGGAATGGGTGGACGGAAGAAGGAATGGGAAGGGTATCCGATTGGAGACGGAGTAGCCTAATCCGTTTCTCTTTAATTTCATTCCAAACGGATTTGGCTACTCCGTTTCGGGGTTTATTTTTTTTTAAAATAAGCTGAACGGATTACGCTACTCCGTTTGATAAAAATTTTCGAGTAGAAACGGATTAGCCAAATCCGTTGTGCACTGACAGGAAAAAAACTTTTGACTTACACTGCCAGGAATGATTTTTTTCTTTTCTACATATGTTGGTAATTTCCTC